TCCTCGTTGCTTTGATTATGCAAAAGGATGGGGAGAACTGCTAGTGTTTATAGAGCGGATGTCGCGTTTATATCCTAATTTTCTGCACTTTACTATCACTTCATATCGTAAACGCTTCGAAGCAACCGCATTGCTCTGAATCCTTTGCCCTATTTCCTTGAAAGTCTGTTGATCGCTCGAAAGGTGAAATTCAGATGCTACGGTATCGTAAGATGTGTTCTCGGTTGGCTGCTAACTGAGAGAGCCTGCTTCCGATTCAAGCTTCTCTGCTATTGATAAATAAATCAAATTGCAGTGCTAAGGACAAATAGTAAGAATTTTGAACATCCTCGCTTTCTAAGGGCACACTGCGCAGAGTGCCCAATCGTCTCGTCAAGTAAGTGAACTAGTAGGGTGCCGAGGAAGTGCCCTTTATTGCAGCTTCAAAGTGCGCAAGAAGCAGCGGGCTACAAGCTTACCGCCTAAGCCCATGAAGTATATGCCAGCCCATGTTGCCCTTGTAGTTGTCATAGTGCCGTTGCCGTCTCTCACCCGTCGCTCTCTTGTCTTCCTGCCCTATGCTGTTCTTGTACCGCAGTTGATCTTGACTACCTTACCTTCGTCCAGTAATCGCAATCAGCATTGAGAAGAAGGGCCTTATTGAACTGTTGGCTTCCTCGCTGTTAGCTCACGTAGCATCGACATCAATGTTAATGAACCCCATTGCCTACAATGTGCAGTGCATCTAGATGCAGTGGGCACCATGGCTGGAGGCGGGCGGTTGCTGCTAGCGTCACTGGTGGAAGGGTTTCGAAAGGGGCTTGTTCACACTCATTCAGCCCTTCCACCAATGACTTTAGCGGCAACCGCTCGCCTCCAGCCATCGTGCCAACTGCCTTCAATTGCTCTGCTCAAGAAAAAGAAGCTCGTTTGTGAAGTGCATGGCCAAAAATCAGCCCCTCAGAGTGCCTCGAAATTGGGTAATAAATATTATAGAGAAATATGGGCCGAAATTTTACCCTCAGGGACACTGTAACTGTACCTCACGCTTTCTGCGTTGATGCTCTATCTGCTACGCATGCCTGCTTCCTTTTCAAACTTTCTTTTCATTCTTTGTTATTATCCAACTACTTCATCGAAATAAGTAGACGTACTGTGGAGTATAGCGCACTCGCCGGGAAAGAGTGATTTATGGCTCGAGCCCTGCCTGAGGTAACTAGTTTTGCTCATTACTCAGCATTCGTGTAATAACTGAAAATTGGATACTCAATCCCGTCGATCTGGTCCTTGCCGAATACATGTTTGCTATGAAACACTGCAATACCTGCGCAAGGTGATGTAGTTTTGGTGGCCAATGACGACCGTGCGCTCAGTGACGGGACAGGTCCTATATGGACCCTCACTGGATCCCTGTCGGGGCTTCCACTCCACGATCAGCTGGTTGGTCCCAGAGCCACATGGAAGAGCCAAAACGCCGACTGCCACATCAACTGACTGTCACAATCATTCACAGAATCTCATAGGCCACTGTGGACTTGATTATACAAAAATGCGTGGCTAACCCGAAGAAGGGTTGATCAGTGCCAAGGATTCTCCCTTCTTTAGTCTCACCACAACATTTTTGTTCCTAGTTCAGGTGCTGTCAACCAGGAAGGAACTGCCCCTTCACGGTCGCACCTTTGTCGCATTCACCCCTTTTTTTCATAAATTTGACGCGATGGTCGCTTCCAGATGCCATTTCCAGCGAATATCTCGGTTTTCCTTTCGATGATCCTTCGACTGGATCTTAATTAGCTCCACTTTAGGCACTTATGCGGTCACTGCTTTGCCTCAGCGATAATTCGTATGCACAACAACATCAAGACCTCCTCCGGAAAAGTGCAAAAACTTTCGGAATTTTTCATCTTTATTCATATGCATTGACACTCCCCTTCGTCCACTACGAACGAGACTGTATCTTGCTGTAACGCCTCCTCATTGTTTCTTTTATCTCCACATTTCTCTGTAAGAAGAATGAGGAGAAGTGCTATAGTGGCAACTCAAATGCCGGACCAGCTTTCGCCCGGAAGAACCAAGTCTTTTACCCTGGAGCGGAGACAAATAGGTACCAGACTTGCCTGGGGGATAAAAAGCATTGGCGTACAGGCTGTCCCCCTCCCCGCTCCCCTGCCACAAGACATTGTTGACAGACGAGTCCAAAAACCACTAGGGTTCTAAATGGAAGCGGCATTTCCTAGAGGGCTGGTCTACCCTGAAAACTTTATCCTTTATCCTTTAATTGCTTGAGGCCCGACATCTGGGTTAAATGGGTTAATCCCATGGGGTCCATTATGACTGGGCATATCCTGCCGTTGGGGGAGATTTTCGCGAAATATGATCCCTCAAAAAGTTCCTCTTTCGATACGACCTCGCTTCCCCTCCCAACTCACCATTCTACCTACCATGTTTCCATTTCTCGAGCTTCTCTGCACCCTTCTAAAAAATAGTGCAGCCGAGGGCGGGTATGGAGGGAGATTCCCACTTGAAATAGGGAAAGCTGAGAAATGTGAGCAAGCTCGAAAACAGTCTCTACAAGGACAACTATGACCCCGTTCCCTCCTCCTACCCACCCCCCCCCTCGCCGACCTCACACGCTCCCCTCGCTTGAGATCTCCAACGTAAGACGAGGACTGGTTATGAAAACTTGTTATATGAGCTTAATCCTTTGTCTCACGCACTCTGCATAAGATACCTTCCTTATTGTATTCCCTGTATGCGCACATAGGCGTAATTTACACCGAAATAACACAAATCCAGAATTATTTTTCCTCAATTATCGATTAGCCATCACTGAATGCTCAACGGTTTCATGTCGATAAACTGGCTCGTTTAAAACTCACTTAACGAACGGAGCGAGCTGGTTTTTCATCCGTGAATGTCTTCAGAATTTATGAGCGTTCCGTGATCCGCCCACGAAGTCGCGCTAGATGCTGCAGCAGCAAAGCTAAAAGCTATCTCACCACTCGATAACCTACCTCTTCAATTCTCACTATGGTTACTAGTTCACGTTTTGTCACGAACTACAACATTCTCAAGATTCCTGTTATGCGTAATGGATCAGAGATCATTTGGGCTATAACTTTTACTTCAAGAGTTTCTGTTACCAGTATTTTCTAAGAAGGTTATGAGAATAATACTTCTACCTAAAATTCCAGATGACGTCATATTTTTATCTATCTATTCGTACAAATGCTCATCTTCCTGTTTCGTATGGTCGTGTAAGTCGCTGTTGCTATCAAGATATCAATCATTCTGTTGTGGCCGGTTCCTACGTTAGCCATCCTGTCGTCCTTGACATCTCGTACCCATTTATTCCGTTTCGATAAGTACAACTTTGTTAAGACAAGGAATGACTGCAGCTCTCGATTTTCTAGTCTAAATAATAGCAATGGACCTAGTAGTAATACTGAGCCCATTTGATTTATCTAGGTTTCGCCAGAAATGAAGGGCAACGGATTTCTGTGCCCTAAACAAGGTACAGCATCGTTGAGAAATTCAGGGCCGTGCTTCATCGCTGGGGTCTCATCTGGCCTCGAGAGAAGACTTTATGACTCCATTCGGCTTTGTAGGAGGCATTTCTCTCTACCGCTAGTCTCTCTTGCTGGTTGGATCACAAGTCTCATATTGGTACTCTCTTGAAGTGGGAACGAATTTTTTTGCTATTATAACTCTAAGGGAATTCCCAAGTATCCACGGTAGCTCCCATCGATCGCTCTGGAATCGGAAGCGATCGATCGGACTACCGAAATACCCCCACCACGCCGCGGACTGCGCCAGTTTTCCGAGTCGTTGATTTTTCACGATTTACGGGCGTCATAAAACTTTCCCCCACCACATCTCCTAAATTGCGGAGGCGCACAGCCACTGCCCAGCCACTATTTTTATTAGTCGATTGGTGGTAGGAAATCTCCCCGACCCCCTTCTCACAGCAGTTTTTCGTAGGAAACTGGTAAATTTATTGGAAACTCTGTAGGGAGCTGAAAGAAGGTAAGGCGTAGGCTGTGAGAAAGGGTCCTAACTCGAGGAGAGACACGGAATCGCACTGACGCCTGCATTTAACCCAACGTGATGCTATATCCTGGCCCTGAAGCGTGAAGATACTGAGCCTGGAGATGAGCTACAGGGCCCGATTCCCTCCTCTGGTATGACTCCGTCTCACTTTTTATTTATCGCCTTACCAAATTCTTCCAACTCTCTACCAATTATCCAAATATTTTACTAGTTTCCCAAGTAAACTATTGTGTGGGAGTGGGGGGAGGGTCATACAAAACCACCCTCAAGCCCATCGAAATGATATACCCTGGCTCTAAAAGCGTTAACATACTGAGTTTGTAGGAGCTATGGGGCCGATTTGCTCCTCGGTTACGACCTCTTCTCGCAATCTCTGTCGTCGTACCAGAATTTTTCAGCTTCCAACCAGTTATCCAAAAATTTTACCAGTTTACCAGAAAAAAACCATTGTGTGGGAGCGATGGTCGTACTGGGACCGCCATTTGACACATCACCATTGCGGTGCTCTACCGTGGTCCTCGAAGCGCTCCTCACTCTAGGATACTGAGCTTGGAATTGAGCTACAGGGCCGGATTTCCTCCTCGAGTACGACCCCTTCTCACAACCTATCTATTCTCCTATCCTACCAGATTCTTCCCAATCCTAGCCAATTATTGGAAGTTTTCATCAATTTGCCAAAAGAGGTGTGTGGGAGCGAAGGTCCTTTCCAGCGAGACCGCCATTTAACCCATCACCATCGCCTGCAGAGCCAGAAGCTTGAAGATACTGTGTTGTTGTTGAGCTGCAGTGCATTCTTTGGACTTTCTTTCCGTCGGAATGCAAGTATGTGTGGGTGTGCCATTCACTGAAAACATTGGCAGACGGAAAGCTCATTTCACTGGAGCGTGTTATGACAGAGCTGTAATGCAATATGTCTAACAAACTCAAGTACGTAGGCGTTCATTTCTTTTCTTTGTGGGTAACAATTGTGAATGACTGACGTAAAGGACATGATGATGCACAGAGGTTGCTGTAAGCAAAAAGTTCCACTTAGTCTATACCCGAACTATGTTCTTTGATCGGGCCAGTGCGCTATCCATTACGCCCAGACCGCGCTTGTCCCTTCAGTTCAGTGGCTTTTGTGCCATACCTTTGGCTTCCAGCACTCATACAATTAACATGGGGAGCAGAGTTCGTATAGGGTGAAGGGCGAGGCTGAAGGCTCTACATCATGGCACATCATTATTTGGGGATTTTGGTCAAGTCGTACAACCCCCTTTTTTAGGAGTTGGTACGACCCCTCTGGTTCTCTCCTCATCGAGCTGCCAAAGGGGGGGGGGAGTAAATAAAAATGTGATACGGCTCCTTCTACCATTTCTTGGATTTCCTCCTACTTCCTATATTTCCCAGAATCTCCCGAAAATTCAATTTTTCCTATTTTTCGCCAAATTTTGCTGTCGAACGGAGTCTGGGGTACACAATACACATGGTAACAGGAAAAATCACGAAAAGTTAGGCAGCCGTCTTCAGAAGGTCAGAAGCGAAATACCGCCCCTCTCCAGGCGACCAAATACGACTTCCCCCCTACACCCTCCCTTATTGGGAAATCCCCATCAACGATATGCCCTGCTCCACATAGTTAGAAGTTGTTTAAATTACTGCTCTACGACGTCACAGTTCGCGCTCCGAAAATTATCACAAGAATGCTGAATCATACTATCTTATATAATGCTAAGTTATACTGTTACTAAGACAATTTCTAAGTATGTCCTTTGTTCACGAAAAAGTGTGGTGACCATAACGTCAACGTGTTCGCGAACTAGTCCTTACAAAAGAAAACCAGTCGAAACATGCCCGTATACAGTGCATAACAAAGGTATGTGGATAGTCCAAATTCCAGTTCTGAGAGTTACAAGTACAGTTCCGTGCAATAAAACCTTGTCAATCGATTCTTCGTGATTGATAACCTCTAGCAATGCACTCTTCATATATGGATGGTATTTCGTAGCGAATTTTGATTTGGACGTGCATGGCTTGCATAAGGAAAAGTTCTCCCGTGTAGTCGTCAAAAACGGAGGATCACGTTAAAGGCAAGCTGCACGATAGTCTCCAACACGTGTAGGATTAATGCGCCTAGCAGGACAGAATTCGGTGCCTCTGGGCAGACACTGCGTAGCGCCTTTTCCAAGGAAGGTACCCTTATAGCATCCTATCAAGCTGCAACATACCGACCCGGACGCCCACCGTGCCCGCCCGCCCACAAATGTTCGACCTATGCTGATGCTCCAATCGCCTCATTTCACAGTACAATACGAAGCGAAGGGATTGATATGAAGCGGCTCCGGTGCTGCATGGAATATGTTTACGATGCAGCCTTCTACAGCGGTGGTTTTTGCACGATGCCAACGGGAACTCGTGCGAAATTGCTTAGTGTAGTATAAAGGCTTCTAGGTTTTTGACCGTTTCGCTTCGCTTTTTCGCCATTTTCTCCAAAATACACCTCTGCTACCATTTCTGGCTGAGTACCAAATTATCGCGCCTTATGCATTTAATAAGGCACAGCGATCGAGTGCCGGTCAAAGATTGGTCAATGTTTGTTCAGATTTATTTTTGTGTTTATGTGCTCAAAAGAGATCAAATATATTCGGTGCACCTTCTGCGATTGCGGACCGAACCACCTTGTAGGTGTAGGGATGGAGCCCGCGAGGTTATAAGGGATGTGTCTCCAAAAAATACTTATTTCAGAGGGTATGGGCCCAATCTCTTCGTAAGCTCGCAGAGACGAACGCGACACGCACGTGGTCACAACTGCAGCAGCTGTTGCAGTTTTTTGTATTCCTTGATTTCTCCTGATTGATTCTCAAGTTTTATAGGAATTCAATAACGACGACAATTTATATCCTCGGGATACCACCAAAATCTACTCAAAATTACTGGTAATTTAATGACATGAGAGCAGAAATATATGTAGTTACACTCCTTATTCCTTAGCCAGAGTAGGCGTGGCATTTGAACATAGCACGGAACTGGTTACTCGTGGAATATTCCAGCCTGGGACAACTGTCATCTTGTTCTGTGTCGGACAGAGACACGAGAACAATTGTGTCAAGATGAAAATATCTCACCAGAATCATAGACACTTTCAGGTTAAGTTGAAACATGCGACCACGCTTACCCGATCTCAGGGATCTCGTGTATACCTGGAATCTAGAAGTTCAAAAGGAAAACGCCATCTTTTTTCCCGCGGAACACACGCAGTGTAGAGGGATAAAATGCGGCTTATACACAAGTGCGCTCAAAGACAGTTGGCACGATGATTTGGTGCTCGGCCTACAATGCTAGTAAGGCGCTATATAGTGGGGAAATGGCGAAATAACGGAGCGAAACGGTCAAAATCCTGCGAAGGAAGAGCCTCCGTTCTCATGTGTTAGAAATCGATTTTGGACGAGTTTCCTGTAGTCATCTTGCCAATCACCGCTACCGAACGTACACCTGCATATGTGTACTCACATATCCATGCAGCGTCACGGCCGCTTCATACCAATCCCTTCGCTTCATAATTTGCTTAGCAAATGAATCCATTAGACGTCAGGAACGGTCGTCCATATGTGGACGGGCGGGGTGGCGGGCGTCTGGGTCGGAATGCTGTGGCTTGATAGGGCCCCTACTCGTCTTGCGGGATTTATCGTGCCGACTGCCTTTAATGGTCCAGGAAGTAGGGACTACCTACCGGCCCAACATGTTGGTCTTTGTTAACCAAGGTACAGCATCGAGATAGGAGAAATGGCTATGTAGCGACACTTCCCTCCACCCCCACCCCGATTAATTTCTCCAGTGCAATTCCTTCCCACAACACGTCTCTTATCATTTTTTTTCAGAAATTATTCGCTTTCCTCAAAAGCATGGTAGTGGTATATCACTTTGGAAACGGCAAAACCGCGAAACGTTCGGTCTCGAAAGATATTTCTGCAATAAAGGAGAAATTCCTTCTCGTAGCAGACCCCAACTGACCGCCCCCATCGACCAAACACGATCCCCTTTTCCTCCCGACAATCGAGGCGAACGCGACTCTGCTGGTGGGATCCTCCCAACAGTACCTTGCTTGCAACGCCTTATTTTGATCGGTTGAAATTTTCCGAAGAAATTGATGAAATCAGTGCTCTTATAGCACCTGATGGTCACTCAGAAAATTTTGCAAAATTATCCAGTAAAACATGGGTTTGAAGTGGTTCATGGTTAGAACAGAAGTGCTTCCGTTTGTAGGCCTGGATCTTATAAGAGCTCGTACAGCCTTTTTGCAGTCTTATGAACGTTCTGTGCATGGTGACATTGGTAATTAGTAAGAATGGCGTCAGTGACGTCGGAATCACTTAGCCTGCAATTTTCCCTATGGCAGTGCGAATTGCTGCTAATGGTCCAGTAAGTGGGAAAAGAGACATCATACGTCCGAAATATTACCACAGCTCTATTTGTAGACTTTTCTGCTCTACTTGGCTACATTCCTGTGTGGAACTTTACGTAACTCTTTGGTACCTTTAGGGTAACTGGAGATTTATGCTTCCACTTTCGGGAGAAGGTCCCTGTCCAACTTTTAAATTCATTCAATAAAGCTTACGAAAAAAAAGAAATGGGTAGAAGAACGGAAGAATTGGCGTGGCAGATCAAAGAGAATGGGACTGGTACTACCTTTGATTTGTTTCTGGGAATTCTACGCTTGGAATTTTTTTATGCTCTATTGTATAGCGTGGATCAGGAGCGCTGCTTCCCAGGGGCGGCTAAACAGGCGTTCCATGAGGTATGACGCACGTTGCATTCTCACCAGGACCCAACCAACTCAACATGGCAGCGGCATTGCGCGTCGACCTCATCCCCGACTTGTACTGCGATCCCGTGATTAGGAAGTAACGCTCCACACTCTGTGCCCTGTCACTCTTAACTGGTAAAGTCCTGTATGATGTGCGTACATCATGCAGGGCTTTACCATTTGTTCTCTTGTTACATGGTAATCAGTCACTTCCTTTTTTCACTTTTATATGAATCATGTGTCTCGCTTTTGTCCGTCTCCTATTTGTGCAGCTTGCGAGTCTGAGCTTTCGACTGTGTGCTAAATGCAGCGCTACACGACCAGGCAGTGATAGCCTCCAGGGACCAAGGCAAACGTGAGAGGTGGTCGTGATATTTTTTCGTCACACGGGATAGCTTTATTAGGGCGTACCTGTCACCAAGGAGAGCGCCGTAGTAATAGGAGCTTGGGCAATTCGGGTTCTTCTGTCACGGGACTATCAGTATGGGATCCCGGGCTGACCATACATTGACGGGTATTTCGATAGCGTGTACGGGAACCCATCATGTGTGCTCCGTCTCCAAAAAATATTCTGCTAATATTAGAACATGGAATTATTGCCAAATAGACCATGTGAAGCAGCGGGAGAGGAAAATGTGTGACGCACCATGCGTGTCACGCAGCCGAGGATGTGTTGAAGCCAGAGGTAATTCGCTAAATGGTCGTTTCGAAAAACACACTACCAGCAGACGGTATCACATTAGCAAGTGGCAAATGATGGATGCTCGAAAAAGGGATGCGAAATCGAGTAAGTGAAGATTGAGGCCAGGAAGAGTAGGGTCTGTATGAAGAAAGTTTGATAGAAGAGTTTGAAGTTCTTCAACAGCAGTTTCAGTTCTACTCACCTTGAAGAAGTAATAAAAAACAGAAATTAATTCAACAGGTTTTATTATTCTCGAGCTTTTAATTTATGGTTTGCTTCTTGAAAAATGAAAGGAGAACTTCATAGTAGTATAAAAATCAAGCCTGATCATGGGATCGTTATCACAGCAAAGCGGCACTGAAGCGCCCTGTTAAAGTGTTTATTGGCTCGCGGATACTGAATCAAACCCCTCCCCCACTACTGTTTGGAAATTGCTGAATGTTTCATTATTTCTACACCATTTTTTTTCTGCGATTTTTTTTGGACACTCATATGGAGTGACATGTCATCAAGATTACTTGTAAATACTGTGTGGGTCTTACACATAAGCATCAACAGCCGTTTCTTTGCTGCAAACAAACAAGTCTGAGCTGCAACCTTACGTGAGCAAATGGAATCGGTAATGACGTGCGTCACACTCTTTCCCATCACTTAACTCATGTAATTTTATGGCTTAAGTTATTTGCTATTACAGCTTTTTCAATCAGATTCACATGAAACGGTAGAAATGCCATACATTTTTCTTTCATTTGGGTTCTTATAGATGGATTAATGCAGATATAAGGCGGGGTTAGGCTAGGACAGTAAGCTCGGGGAACTGTACTTCAGATGCGAGTGGGGTCTTGTGAATATTTGTTTCCCACGCGTAATCGGTTGCTACATTCCATGTCACCGAGATGGGGGGGGGGTGGCGTGGCTACGTACTACTTCATTTGAGCGCGGTGGCAGCTGCTCATCTGGAGGGATGTTGCCGTTTTTTGGCGATTGTTATCACTTGTTTCCCACCACAAGATAGGATGACAGTTGTCTGGAACGGCAACATTAACTCTGAACGCATCCTAAGCCATGTCCAAACGAAGTACACGACCACGCCCTTCCCAGCTTTGGGATATGACGTGCATCTCAGTGTTGTTGTAGCTGGTAGATGATAGCATACTCTTCCTGATTCCCGCCCCCTCTCGCTCGACGGATGTTGCGGGGGTCGTATGGAGGAAAACATTTTTTCGCCATCATAGCTCGCCCTGGAAGAGATTCTTGAACCTCTGAGCTCTTGACTGGTGCATCCGCCTACCTTTTGGCTTAAGAGTTGTATCGAAACTTCCACCTACCTTTTGCTTCAATAAGCAGTCGTGGACTGTCCCGCCTACCCACCTATACGTTTAAAGTAACAACTACTTTCAAGGAACTCATTAACACTCTTTGTTCCCTTCTGAGAAACTTGTGAATTTTTCATGTTCACCCGAGCTCAAATTCATGGTGATTTTTTGCAGAATTTGGAATAGTTTCCTCTATTTCGCTAGAATACTCCAGTAAAATATTCTGTATCAAGTGTATTTGATTGTAATCGCTTACCATTGCCTCGTTTACTTCTCCGACTTATTGTTTCCCAGAGTTCGCCTCATTATAACTTTCATTTCAGAAATGAATTCAATTTCTCGCGCTGTCACGTCACGTTTCAATGACATTTCCAACAAAAGGCAAAGGCTCGTAGGAGAAGGAAAGGACTCAGATTTTGGTGAGTGTAGGCATATTTTGTTTTTGATTTTGCGAATGTCAAAATTCAGGCGAGCATATGCTTTGATAGCAATTCCTAAGCTTAAGAAGGAATCAGAATTAAGAATAACATACAGTTTTATTTGCTGCGGATGCAGTGGAGCTGGCTTTAGCCCTCCCCCCTAGCCTGTATTCCACAAATCGTTGTCACTTGCTGTCTTCAACGATTGATGGACAACGGTTGGAGCCACTCCAAACCCCGCCCTCTTCACACTCCAGTATCCGCAGCAAACAAGATTATAATTGCGCAGGTAGTGATATGATAGGATGTAATTAAAGACACTTCCTGCGATCAAGTGATCCGCGAAATGCCTCCGTGCATTTGGCATCGTTGTCTGCATTCGCGGAGATTATGCAACTTTCGTCACTCGAAACGGCGAGATAAAGAAGCTATAGACGCGTAGGTATTGCAACCGGTGCAGCCGCGTAGTGTAATTCTGCAAGACAACGGCTTAGAAGCGGAAGTGCGTGTGTTAGCGTTGCCTGGAGCGTCGTTGGGTGATCGCTCTTGCCGGGAACTGCTTGCATGTCGAATCCCGCTGACTGAGCTCCCCGACGTCCGACGAACTCGTCCAAGGCTCCCACTCTAAGGGGATTCTATTCTAGTATTGTTTCCCTAGGTTTTTTTTCGTTCTTCTCTCTCTCTCTCTATCTCTCTCTCTCTCTGAAGAGGAGTTACTAGTGGGCTACTGGTTTATGATTGGCTACCCAAAGTGCGCGATCGCGGAAACAGCCTTTACGTTCAATATATTTGTGACATTTCGCGCATACCTGAAAAAGTAAAGTTCACTTCAATAGCGAGTACAGGGCCAGGCGCTGAAAGCTTCCTTTAATAAGTTCAGAGATTTTTCGAATTTTTTTGAAGAACTTGGGGCCTTTTGAAGTCGATCTTTCAAAAACGCAGATGGAAGCGAGTAAGTGGGGCGAGGCGCCGCTCACTACGATCAGGTCTCGAATCGGCTCCCTTTAGGGCCTACCATATAAACTCGAGTTTCCTCAAGCGCGGTGGGGGTCGCTGCATACCTCATCTGAACGTGGCGTAGGATGGACCGTTCGGGGATATGTATTCCAACTAGACAACTGTAATTTTGTCTTGTTGGGCAAGGGCATGGTTACAAATATCCCAAAAAATCTCCCACTAAGGACGCAACCACCGCCACGTTCAAATGAGGTACGTAGCCACGCCCATTTCATCTGTGGAATTTGGAGTCTAGGCAAAAGCCATGAAATACAATAACGACTCCGATCGGGAGTAGAATGTGTGGCATGCCAAAAGGGAAACAGTCAATGGCACAATCCCTTTCAAATTCTCAGTTTCGCAGCATATTTAGAGTGCTTTTTGTTTGGTTCCAAAACCACTCAATGAATAATTTATCAAAATCATTCAGTGAATCCAAGTTGGACCGATCCGACAACTAGCGATTTCAATTGCTTTGAACCACCCGAATTGATTATATCAGAAGAGGATGGCATGAGGTTTAATTTTGTGTCCGAAATCTCTGCGACGGAACATGATATTGCTCCGATTTCAGGGTCCTATAATGGAGACGAAGATTGAAAAAGCTAAGTTCACACCTGAAGCAAAAACTCAGAATAACATTTCAAAAAAGGTGAGAACTATTAAATTTCAATCAACTTTTTATTTGTCTCTTATAATTTCAATCAGTTTTTTGTGACCTGTCTCTGAGTGTTTTCCTCACATATGTTCCATTCCATTGAGCTCATCACTTGAGATAGAATAACAAAAATATTGAAATCAGCGTCACTCTTAGCCTTGGAAGGGACCATCTCTTCCTCTGTTTCCTCCATTGAAAAAGGTTGTTCATTGGCGGTTGAATAGAAAGTGTAACGTTGTGCAGCTTTTTTTTCAAAATTGATCCTCTCAGGTTACTTCGGTGGTACGGCGGCTTTCGCCGTTCGGCAGCAACAATAACCTTTCAAAAGATAAAGACGAGGAAAAGCACGAGGGTACGGAAGAGAAGAAAACACAGAAAATCTTCAAGGAAACTGTAAGTTGTTTACTGTACAAATACAAAAATACTAGAATAAAGACGGTTCGAGGACTACGAGCTCCATAATTTCTTTGCTCCAGCGGCTAAAAGTGGCGAGAGGGATCAATTGTATTGACGTGTGTGACTTCCTCATAGGTGCTAAACTAGACCGACCTATAAGACAAGTGAACTTCCTTTCCAGATGGGGCCACTCAAACGGTGCTTGCTGAAATCGAATATTTCATCGGAGCCTGGAACCAAAGCATTGGTCACATCAAGTTCTCTATATTTCATTTTTATTACATTTACCTACAGCTCTTAACGGAGCGTCGGGTAAGGCGTCCCTACGTCTTGGCGCGGTGCCAGCCAATTTCCAGCCATAGTGGCGACGACTGGTGGAAACGAGCTGGAGCTCGTGGGAACGTACCTGCGAAGGAACGCCCCCACATGTTGCACCAAAAGTGGAAATGGTGTAGTGGCTTAGAGATCAACCCAGTCCAGCCAAGCTTTCTCCCTTTAGAGGTAACAGATCAGTCTGGAATTATAAAAATACTGACCTGTCTGGCAAGCTCTTGAAATTCACTATACAGGCCACATCGTATTCAGGAATATCTGGTTAACAATCATGAGGATTCTTGGGGGTGAGGAGATGAGGGCATACTTCACTTTCTCGAAAGTGGTCATGTTTGGAAAGACAGCTTATTCAAGGGGTCATCGTACTCTGAGATCTTCACATGGCGGGAGGACTAGTCCTGTTCGTGAGGATGAGGGGGCGTGCCAGCGAGGTGTTTGGCGGGGCACCAGCCCGTTTTTTACTGGCGTAGTCAGGAATATCTGGATTAACACATCATGAGGATTCTGGGGGGTGAGGAGATGAGGGCATACTTCACTTTCTCGAAAGTGGTCATGTTTGGAAAGACAGCTTATTCAAGGGGGTCATCGTACTCTGAGATCTTCAACATGGCGTGAGGAATAGTCCTGTTCGTGAGGATGAGGGGGCGTGCCAGCGAGGTGTTTGGCGTGCCACCAGCCCGTTTTTACTGTGTTATTGGAGCGATAAGCTACAACATTTGGTGAAAAACGGTTCATGCAAACGAATGCCGTCTTGTACTTGCAGAAAACATGGAGAAAAAGGGGCCGGCGACACGGCAAAGTCATCTCCTTGACATGTCCATCATCCGCACCAAATAAGATTGTGCCGTGGCTGTGTCATCTAAGATAACGTGGTTCTTGAAAGAACAAATCTTCCAGAAGGAAATGATGGAGTCAAAAAGCAAGGAATTTTGGTGGTCCAAGAAAAGATGATAATGCTCACTTTTTATTCCTTCTGTGTCACTAGACTTCAACCACTTCTCGCGCTTTTTCAATGCATTGTCAAATGTTGTAAGGTTAGAGAGTTTAGGCGCAATGATGCTTGATTGGCCGAAGCTGAGCGCATGCGGCTCCACCTTCTGTCTGTCGTCTCGCTCTTCTGTCTACTCTCTCACTGTTCTTGCCCGGTCTCTCTGAAAATTTCAAGGAATCTTCGACAACAGCTTGAATAATGGGTGCTTCAATTAGCATTTTTTTTCTGCTGTTTTTTTTCCTCACGGGTGAGACCACTAAAACAACACTGTTTGTTCATCTGTTTTTCAAATCTGTTTTCCACATCCCATCTGTCAATATTTGTTTTTCAACCGCACTGCTTCTGACGTATTGGACGGCCGGTTGAGAAATGTACCTTCGAAGAAACAAAGGGTACCCGCCTGGGGATTTCTTGCGCGTTTCACACCTTTTGTGACTTTCCATGAAATTGTAGTTAAAAGTACACAGTTGTCGTAGACAGAAATCCAGGAGCTCTTAAGCTTAGCTTAGGGGGGGGGATTCTACCGTCTCTGTGGACATTAAGGCCTCTCCCCCTTCCTTTTTCCTTTTGCCTTCCTTCTTTTCCTTTCTTTATCTTCTCTTCCCTCCTCTTGATTTCCTTTCCTTCAAATGCTCGATAGGAAAAGAGTCTGGACCCTCGCGACGAGGGAATATTCGGTTGACAGAAGCCATGTAACCCGCATTTTGCACTACCGCTAGTTTCTTTTGCTAATACATGCTAACTAACAGGTCTTACTTTGGTAAGACCTATAAACTCTTATGTTGAGAAATGGTACAAGAGAGGCACTGTTGCGTCAGGAGTTTACAGGTTTTTACAAGGCCACCTGTGTTCGCTAATCTAAGTATCACTTGGCACACTGCCAAGCCCTGGCACCAGAACCGTTTCCCACAATTAGGAAGTCGTTAGCTAGTGCGAAGTTTCTCATACAAGACGTTCTTATGTTACCGCCAGCAGCGGATAAAGGAACTTGATCTTGCTTATTCGGTTAGGAACATTGGTGAATTGGTCTATCTACGTATGTGCTGTTAAACTAATAGTCGCCGAAAACATATAGTCTCTAGGGAGCCGGATTCCTAATTGAAAAGCATACTTGACGCATGCCCTTTTGGCTAGGTAACACTGCACTTCTGAGGGGTGCAGCCTTTCTTCGAAATTGGCAGAGACCTTTAGTGAGACTCGGGAAATCTTCAGGGAAAACTCCATGTTGAAGAAGTCTTTACGATGGTCTGTCGCGAAGCTTGGTGTGCTTCTCCTGACACCACTAAGAGAAATGCCCGTTCTCCCGCCTATCCTATAATCGTAGATGTCTCTCCGAGTATAAAATGACTCTGTCCGCCTCCATGGAGATCTTGTTGTGTATGTAGCCCCTGCGGCGACCTCTAGCTGTTATGAAGACGAATTGTACGCTCACCTCCATGGATCGTAGTTCCTGCCGTGTCTGCGGAGAATGGGTCCGTACCTGTAGTAGCATGCCACTTTCACCGGTCAACGTGCACAGAAGCGGGGCTGGATGGTGGTGCTACCTTCGTACTCGCCTCGCGCTGCCGCACGGCAAGCCACACGCCTAATCATAGCCGACCGCACTGCTTGTCTGCGCCCTCTCACATCTGGCTGTCTCCAACTCTGCTTCGCTGCGGGATCTCTATCAGCGCAGATGCTGCACCTTAAAGGCAGTTAGCACGATGGTTTCCTACTTAGCCTAGAATGCTAGTAGGGCGCTGTATAGTGGGGAAATGGCGAAAGAACGGAGTGAAACGGTCGAAATCCGGCGAAGAAAAAGCCTCCGTTTTCAGTGACTTATAGGTCGAGTTCGGACGAGTTTCCCGTACGTATCTTGCCAATCACCGCTACCGAAGATACGGGTGCATAAGTGTACCCATGCAGCATCACCGACGCTTCATACATATCCCTCTGCTTCATAATTTGCTCAGCAAAGGAATGAATACGAGCGTCAGAAACGGTCGTCTGTTTGTGGGCGGGCAGGCAAGGAAGGCGTTTGGGACGTAAAGTCGTTGCTCAATAGGGCGTTATAAAGGTACTCTCTGGAAAAGGTTTCACGCAGCGCCTGTCAGGCTGCGTTTATATGTTGCGGCAGCGTAGCGTAGCGCTTCCAGCGTACGCCAGCGGCAGTGCTGGGGAGAGAATGCATATCGATCTAGCGTTCCCAGCGTCACCAGCGTCACGCTAGCGTACGCTGCGTGTCTCCAGCGTTTCACCAGCGTTTTGCTAGCGTTTGCAGCGGCAGGTTGAAGGCGGGGTGGGAGAGCTGGGGGAATACAAAACACATCAATTCTGCGTCTCTGGACGGCCACACATGTCTCTACAATATACACGTCGATCGCGTCTCTGACGGCCACATAGTCTCTACAATAACAACATCGATTCTAGGCGTCTCTTGATGCCACCGTCTCTACAATACAACGTCGATATCGCGTCTCTGACGGTCCACATAGTCTCATACAATACTACATCGATTCTGCGTCTCTGACGGCCACATAGTCCCTACAATAACACATCGATTCTGACGTCTACTGATTGCTCACACAGCCTCCACCAATACACGTCGATTCCGCGCTCTCTGACGCCACATATCTTTACAATCACACGTCGATTCCGCGTCTCTTACGGCAGCATAGTCTTTACTCCCCTGCCGCTGCAAACGCTAGCAAAACGCTGGTGAAACGCTGGAGACACGCAGCGTACGCTAGCGTGACGCTGGTGACGCTGGGAACGCTAGATCGATATGCATTCTCTCCCCAGCACTGCCGCTGGCGTACGCTGGAAGCGCTACGCTACGCTGCCGCAAAGTATAAACGCAGCCTCAGAGGTCACGGAATTCTGTTAAGCCAGTTGTACAAATCCTACACCTGTATAGCGATTTATCGTGCCAACTCAAGGATAGCGCGGGCTAAGCACTTTGGAGTGGATAATCTGGCACGCTACTGCAGCTACGCACTTATTAGCCTCGGCGAGGGTCGTCTGTGGAAGTGAATGTACAGTTTGCCTTTGATTGTCTCTACTCTCTCAGCCCCAGTGATGCCAGTATTGTACTGTTGATGACCAAAAGACTCTGTTGGCCTCCAAAGATTGTACTTTCGTATCAGCGAGTATCAGCTCAGATCACGGTTCGGCAGGGAGTTCAGATTTCCAATTCGCCATACTCGGCCTGGCTAGCAGGGGTGCTGAGTAATGGGGAAAAGGGCGAAAGCGAAATGAAACGGTCAGGAACCTGGAAAAAGCCTCTGTTCAACACTATTTAGAAACCGATTTCGGACGAGTTTCCCGTTGACATTGGGCCTATAGGGCGCTGTAGGGCAACCTTCAAGACAGGCGCCTTGCAGCGCCTGTAAAGGGGCGCGGAAATCTGATTCCCAGGCGTTAACCCTACAGTCCTGGGCATTTATCGTGCCTTTTGCAGTGCAATGATGTGCAATTATCAATCAGTGCAATATCGTGCCTTTTGCAATTAAAGCATCACATGTGCTTATCTGCTCATCTCATGTGCTTATCCAAATGCGCAGGAAACTATAGTATGAAAAATATCGATCGATTTTTCAGAGAGGCAAAATGGACAGGATCAAGAAGTCGTTCAAGACGAACGAACGCCAGCAGTTGATCGATTCGGACGAGGAACAGTAGACGGACATTAATTGGCACCAAATGTCGTCAGCTATTCCTTGCCATGTGAACATGGGTATAAGAAAACGCGAATATCCCCCTTCAAAGAGTTTCATATCCGTCGTTTCTCTTTCTCTCGTCTGCTGTTATTTTATATCATTTGAAATATCATATAGTATTTTTGTATTGTATTTATTAGATACATTGTACACATCAGTCCGATATAAACCAGCTTTAGTGCACTGTAGAAGCGATTAAGCTACGTAAACCATTTAGGGTAGCTCTTTTGTATGAGCTTTGTACAGCTGTATACACTCCATATCCCGGAGATGGGGAGGGCGTGGCTACGTAACTAACTTCATATTGGCGGTGGCTGCCGTTTTGATTGCACTATTTTATATTGCAATCTCAGGACAACTGTAGTCATGATTTGTCAAACGACAATTGTTTCAAGTGAGGGTGCTCCAAGAAAGATGCATGTTACGCTGCATTTGAATGGAGTACTCAGCCACGCCCTCTCCATCTCTGGGATATAGAGTGTATCTTGGCGCTAATGCAGTTGGTGAGGGCTACGCGGCTGATCCGTTTTGTTCAGGCTTAGGCTTAATATTGCACCGACGAGGTGCCGCATGTGGCCTGGGCTCGCGAAGAGGGAGTGAACCTCCGTAGCGCCGCCATGCCCCCATCAACTACAGCGGCACCTTTTTTGTAGGAATATCTGCCGAGTCTCTTATAGAAGTTGTACCAGATTTAATCAGAGTTCTTCTTAGTGAATGGATTTAAATATATTGAATAGAATTTTTTTATTCAGACTGTTGTAATCTGTAATTTGTACATATGCCTCAATACCAGTTAAGATCAAGATCGACACCGCAGGGTCCCTTGTAATCACCGGCATACTGATGAATAGATGGCTTTGACCATCCACCGAATGGCACGAAATTGGTGTAGTCCTGAAGAATACACAATTTTAAATAGAGTTCAATATTTTTAGTGATCGATTTATGTCGGATACTCTTACTTGATGTCCATTGTAGTTGGCCCACCAGAGTGGTCGGCTTGCCCATTGATTCCAGTTGATACCGACAATGCTGCCCCAGTTGTTGTTGTTGGTGTAAATTCCCCAATTAACACCCATAGACTGAAAAGATGAAACTGTAGGCTTGTTTAAGTCCCTTAGCCGCACTTCGACAGTCTTGTTCGCTGCGAACGCTAGGGCGTTCCAGGGGCTAAGTATGGCGCGGCGCCATCCTGTACCGACCGGTTGTGGAACCCGGCACTCGCAGCGCTTAATCCAGCCTCTCGGAAACTCCCCAGCGTCCGCTGCAAATAAAGACTATGGGAGCACTTGAGATCTGCGAGTTGTGGTCAGGCACATCATTAGTTGACGATTTTGGTCGAGCCCGTACACCCCTCCCCCCTAAGAGGTGGTTTGATACCCCCCCCCCTTTCATCATCCTACCTATCACTTTCCAAAGTTTCTCAACTGCCTGCCACTTTTTCCAGTTTTTCCGGAACTTCTCAAAATTTCTCCCACTTTTCCCAAAATTTTGCTGTCGAGGGGGAGGGGGGCACATGTGAAACAGGAAAAATAACGAGAAGTCAGCAACCTCCCTCAGAAGGCAAGTACGACTATCCCCCCCCCTTATAGCGTCCGTGAAACTGATTATCAGACAAAGTTTTCTTTAACCAAGTAGGACCCCCCCCGTCTCCTGTTAAGAGACTCCCAATGATGGTGTGCCCTGGTTGTAGAACCACGCACGAAGTAGAATTGTTAGACAGTTGACTTGACGTTGAAATTTGGCGTCAGATCAATTGGGTTGTGTGAGCCTGCGCGCTACACTGTTTGTTCAAAACATTATTTCAAAAAAAATACTGGACGATCGATCGTTTGTTGCCTCCCATTTCATTCTTGAGGGCCCTTTCGGGTTATGAGACGGTTCTCTAATAATTACAGAATAATATCAAATTACACCGGAGTATAACATTCGAGTCAAGTCTGTCCGAGGGGGGGGGGCAGGAAAGGGTAAATAATCCCATTATTTGAGTGGTTTAGTGGGTTCACACCGGATCCTGCAGCCAGACTACGTCATCGCTCACTTTTCTCACGAAGTTTTCACGTTGACACGATCTCTGCGGCTGCAGCTTTTGCAGACCTGAACAAGTGGGCAGGCATTGTACAAGGCACGTCATTCGTTGTGGAAATCGCAATGGAAGGGGTCGTATTTGGCAGCTGTGGAGAAATGCTTCCGTATTTTGTCTCGAAATAATTTTTTTTCATTCCTGAGTCTCCTCGTTGCAGGTTACACAGCATTCCCCTTTCCTCAGCACGCCCCAGACGATAAAATTTTGAGAAAAATATGATAAGAATTTGGTAGCATTTGGTAAGATGGTAGATTGGTTGTGAGGAGAGGCGGAGCAAAGTTGAGATCGGGGGCGTACACCGTAACCACTTTCCACAAACGATGATGTGCCATGTTTCGGGCGCGGGTTTGCTGCTCGTCACCTAGGGTGGCAATAATGCACCCCTCCCCTATGGATTCTTTTTGTGGACAGAGTACGCCGACGAGAACAACTGTTTCTCAAGAAGACCCCTCCACCGAATGAGGAATCAATGATGCAGACGAGATGCAAGGACAGGCATTGGATCAGTTATCAGATCCAGTGGGTTTGAAGCATTAACGGCAGTTCACGTTCTGTTGTTGGCAGAAATTTTGCAAAATACGTCTCCCTCTGATACGACCCCCGTAATCCATTGGCCACCATTTCCCCGAATTTACCAATTTCCTACCGCCTCTCCGCAATTTCACTATCGAAATTCCAAAATTCCTCAGTTTCTCCCAAAAAAAAAACGTGTGATCGCGCTAGGGGAGGGAGGGGTGAAAGGGGAACTCAGTAACAGGACAATGGGAAGCATTTCGCAAAGGCAAATGCGCCATTTCCCTGGAGATCACCAAGGTACAACGTGCAGTTGTTAGAGCGAGCAGGCAGCAACATTGTGCCTATCATTCCTACAGGCCGTTTTCCACCAACTGTCGCTGCATACCCGATTCAACAACTAGTGGATAACGGGTCTGGCGCGGCACCACCTCCATACCGTCCGACACGCCCCTTCATCTGCAGCGAGCAGGACTGTAGCGCGCGTGACTAAAAACAAAAATGAACTATGAAAATAAGCTTTCACTATGATGCTTCGATACGACAAACAGGTGGCAAAGGCACTTACATTAAGTTGGTTGCCCATAGCAGTAATGAAGTTCCTGTTGTAATTCTGATCATTTGGCCAAGCGTAAATCTCAATATCCAGCCAGATCATGCCAAACTGTGCTCCTTCCGATTTGAGACGATTGACTGTGGCTTCGACCTAAAGAATGTAACAGCCCTGTTTGTTTTTTCTCCTCGTGAAATAACTTTACATAGAAAATTGTCAGTTTAACAGTCAGACTCAGTGAAAACGAATGTATGTCAGTTGTTTCGTGTCAGATGAAAATAATTACCTGAGCCGCTGGAGCAGCGCATGTACTCTTCAGGCAAGGGAAAATGTAGGCATCGACGTATTCCCAGCCGGCTGAAATCAGTAAATGTATCAGGTTCAACACTGCCGCCTAAACCTACACCCGGAAAAACGGCCGGACGAGTTTTACGGGCGCAAGTCG